CCAGGAGTGTTCCAATGGCTGTGTTTGTGCTCAGGGGAAAGAGCCATTTCTTTGGGGAAGGGTTTGTTTCATYTGCTGAAGTTCACGCTCACTCTGTGTGAGTGTGTCATGGTGCTGTCACAGTGTCATGGGCAGTGCCCTGTCCCCTCACAGGGCTGTGGCAGCAGCTGTCAGGTGAAACCAGTGGTGTAGGAGATGAATTCAMAGAAGCTGGGATGTGGAATAAAGCGTGTTTCTCCCCAGATGTGTTTGCAGCTGGAGTGATCCTTGGCCAAACCCCGCTGTCCAGCACAGCCAGAAGCGTGATGGTTTCTCCTTTGCCAAGCCAGAGCAGGGAGGGGATAGTGCTGGGTGCACTGGGGGAGCAGGAGTGTGAGCAGTGGTTCTGTGGGTGTCCCAGTGTCAAGTGGCACTTGGGCACTGAGCTTGGCTTAGCGAGGAAGGCCTAAAGCTCCAGGTTGTCCCTTGGCCTGTCCGGTGTAAGGTGTCCCTGCCATTGGCACGGGCATTGGGATTAGATGATCWTTGATGTCCCTTCCACCCAAAGCACTGTGTGTTGTGTGATGCTCTGACTTTGTGACCCACCCCGGGTGTGCAGATCGAGCCGCTGCGAGGGCCCCTGGAGGGGGGGACGCTGCTGACCATCCGCGGGAGGAACCTGGGCCGCCGCTTCAGCGACATCGCCGTGCGCGTGGGCAGCGTGCTGTGTGCCCCCCTGCGCCACAGATACGAGGTGTCTGAGATGTGAGTGTCTGACAGGTGTGAGATGGGTCTGATATGGTGTGAGGTGTGAGTGTCTGATAGGGTGTGTGAGATGTGAGTGTCTGCTACGGTGTGTGAGATGTGAGTGTGTGATATGGTGTGTGAGATGTGAGTGTCTGATATGGTGTGAGATGTGTCTGCTATGGTGTCTGAGATGTGTCTGATAGGGTGTGTGAGATGTGAGTGTCTGACAGGTGTGAGATGTGTCTGATATGGTGTGTGAGATGTGAGTGTCTGATAGGTGTGTGAGATGTGTCTGATAGGGTGTGAGGTGTGAGTGTGTGATAGGTGTGTGAGATGTGTCTGATAGGGTGTGAGGTGTGAGTGTGTGATAGGTGTGTGAGATGTGTCTGATATGGTGTGTGACGTGTGTCTGCTATGGTGTGTGAGATGTGAGTGTCTGATACAATGTGAGATGTGAGTGTCTGATATGGTGTGTGAGATGTGTCTGATATGGTGTGTGAGATGTGAGTGTCTGATATGGTGTGAGATGTGAGTGTCTGATATGGTGTGAGATGTGAGTGTCTGATATGGTGTGTGAGATGTGAGTGCTGCAGAGGGACCGTGACCCTCACACTCTGCCCATGCCATTCCCTGTCCCCACA